GACAATTACTCTTAACCAGATTCAGCTAGGTAATTCCTCCGTTTTCTTGAAATAAAAAGGGCATTCAACTTCATCTGGACTATGCTCATTTTCTCTCAACCTTTGGATGGTATTGTCAAAAGCATGATGAGGTGCTGTCACACAAAGATTTCCCCAATTGTTTAAGACAAGCCATTTGGATTTGAATTGTTGTCTCTTCTTTGACCTCTTGTCTCTCATACAAGGGAAATCTAAATCCACAGTCCAAGGTAAACCTTTACACTGACTTGTGAGTGAAAAACTGCAAAGTTCAAAACAACATTTCAAAAAGTGGATTCTAACATCTTTGCCAGGCATTCCAGTACCTGAAGGAAGCCTATAGGAAGTCTGGAGAGGATCATTTTACCAGGGCATGTAGCAACAGGACAAGGGGTAATGGTTTTAAAGTGATAAACCACAGGTTTAGGTTAGGTATTCAGAAGAAATTCTCCACTATAAGGGTGGTGAGACACTGGAACAGGTTGCCCAGGGCAGCTGTGAATGCCCCATCCCTGGAAGTGTTCAAGGCCAGGTTGGATGGGGCGCTGAGCAACCTAGTCTAGTGGGAGGTGTTCCTGCCCAGAGCAGGGGGGTTGGAACTAGAAGATATTTCAGGTCCCTTCCAACCCGAACCATTCTATGACTCTGATTTCAAATAAGCATATAAAATGTTCCATGAACTGCGATTTCCAAGTACACAGTCTGAAAATTATATACTGAAGATAAACTGGAATTTCTTCATGTGTTTGCACTCTTAAGAAAGAGAATTACATTTATCCATCACCTATAAAAGTCACCTTAGTTATTCCTTTCTTTTCCCTGCTAAGAAGGCTCCATACACAACTAAGGAGAATAACCATTTAAGTCTGATGTCATAAGTTTCCATCACATTGCTTTCTCTCCTGTGTGAAACACTATATTGTATGCAAGCATCAATCTGATTCAAAATTGAAGTAATTGCTAAATGTTTACAGCAACACACTGATTAACTCAAAAAACCCTTTCTTCTTTTAAAGGTATTTTAATTCAAAGATGTGGCATATTCAGTTATCTATGAAACACGAAATAGAGCCACATGTGTTGGCAACATCACCATCTCCCCATAGGAGCATGCTCTGACTAGACTAGGTCTTTTCTATTTTGGTGCAGATATAACAGGAAAAGTAAACAAAAAAAATACTTCCTCTTCAAAAAAACAAAAGTATTCAGTTTTTGTCTGGTTCTTCCAGACCTATATCCAATAAACCTTTCCTAAAAGGCAAATCTGAAAGCATTAATTTCAGTTGCATCTGCATAAGACTCCTCCCAGTATTTTTTTCTGTTTTCTTAATTACTCACTTTAGCTTCACTTTATTCATTTTGGCTTACCTTCCTCATTATAACATACTGTACACATCAACCAACACATTTGCTGTTGTTTTTTTTTCCCCAAGTGAAAAAGGGAATAATTGGGGCATATTACATATTCCTTTGTTTGTGCATGCTAGGAAGTCCTCATAAACCCAATTAAAGTCTCTTAACTGTGTTTATATATAGATATATATGCACAGACATATACATATAAAACAACAGCCATTACTGACAACCTCCTAATAGCAAGAGAACAAACCCTAAAATTTTACTGCTGCTTTACTTCTGAAAAAGGGAATATTTTTATACTGTAATTTACCAACTCTCCTACCAAAGATTTTGTTTTGCATCAACTTTTATCAACGTATTCTGCCAATACTGCAGACTGAATTACTACCTGTAATGTCTTTAGCAAAATTTAAAAAAAAAAAAAAAAAGTAGCCCCATTAACTGTAGTCTGTTGAAACCAACAGATAGAAATGAGTGGTTATACCACTGCTATTACTTTCTCAGTAACTTCCCTGAAAAGCAAACAGTACATGCTGGGTTATCAAGACAGTTAAGGGCCAAACTCCCTCCTTCTAACCTGAGGGGTGACAAGCAGATCCAGTGCTTTATATTCAACTCGATAAAATACTAAACTGTGTGCAATTTACTTTGCAACTGTGAAATATGCCCATCCACTGAACAAAGCTATGGCAGGGTACTTAAGGTAAAAATTTACTTCTGAGGAAGAAAGTTAAGTGGTTGCTCTCTCCTCTCCAGAAATGGCAGCTTTCAGCTGCTAACTTGAGTTTATGTCCATGGCTCCCACACAGACACAATCAATAGACCACAGTAACAGAATAAAACTCCTAATTCATGGCCCAATGTTAACCAATCACCAGCCAATATGAAGAATACAATCCTGGCTTTCTCTACTCCTCAGAAAGCAGTCTTGTTGAAACAAAAGTCTGTTTACTGAGCTATTCCTCCTGGTTAGCTCCTGCAATTAGCTATAAAAATGTGGCTTCTGGAATAACAGATAACATAGAAGGAAAACTACCATCCAACAAACTTAGTTTGATCATCAGTCAAATCCTGCATGTAATAATATTCAGCTATTACTGCCATACCACCACCTCTAGCAACAACAATAAAGACATTTTTTTCAACAACCACTTTAACATTTAATTTCTAAGAAAGTAGTTAGCATTAAAAATACTTCTAGCCTATTCAGAAACCTGAATATTCATGTGCCAGTTACACAACTCCTTGCTGAAGATGCAGACACTGCATCTTTAGGAAGAAACAGAAGTGATCTTAAAAACTAAATGCTAATAAACTTTACTTTTGTAACACTAGTTAAAGTTGCAAGTTAAAATAATGTTATGAAACAACAGTGATTGTAACAAAAAATAACCACAGTAGCTTCCTGAAAACAGAGTAATGTATTTCAAAAATCCAACAATCTTCAAACCTACCAATAAAATATTAAGGGCCTATTAAAATATTGGAAAAAGAAGAGCTGGACATCCTGAAAGACATTCAATTTCTTCACAAAACATCAGTAACAGAAAAACAAAATAACACTGAAGGACAGAAGTCAGCTAAGCAACATACAAAACGGCAATAAAGCTTCAACACAGCGAATGACAGACAACACACCAGTCATCTGCAAAACAGGTAAGCAACGACCACTGCAAAGTACTTTATTGACAGTAAAGTTAGTGGAAAGCAGAAAAAAGTTACAGTGAAACTTGGCAAACACCATGAAGGAAGCATATTCATGCAGCATTGATGCTCCGTATGCAGCTGGGGCAGGGGGGAAGCCAACATACAGATGGGTTTATTCTGCTTCAGCTGCAGAGACCCCTCTTCAGTCCAGTTTTTTGCCCCCAGCAAAGAAGAGCTGGCTGGGCTGGCTCCTCTCACATGCTGTCTATTACAGTCTGACTATACTATACTAAAACTCTTTTGCTTAAGACAATTGAAGATACACTGATCAGGACTAAATTAGCACTGCAGTGAAAAATAAAATATTTTACTCTTTTAAAAAACCAAATACTTCTGTATGTTAGTAGATAATAATGTGATAGGGTGAAAGATGGGGCCAAATTCCTTATGACTTGCAAAGAATCTCCACAAAGAGTCTGAAGTCAAAGAGCAACACCACAACAGGCCACAATCCTGAAGGGCAAAAAAAATAATCTGACTATAATATGGCAACTCTGTAAAGTGCCACAGCAGCTGATTTGAGAGGCAAGTTATAACCAAAGAATTTTTTGGGCCTCCTAGCAACATTCTTTGCTGTCATCAGACACCACAGTTGATGTTGCTAAAAGTTGGTGCCTGAGCCTGAACAAGTAGGGGCAAGATGAAAGGGTGTGAAAATCCTTGTCCTGATTAGTCATTATGTGCCTGATGCACAATCATCAAGATGGAAAGAAACAGCATGATGAGTACCATAGAAAACACAGTTAATTTCACAACAGCAATAATACCATATATGACTGCCTTTAAAAGGTAGTTTTTAATGCTTGTTAACATTTCACCATCTCAAGATTAAATGCCACGTATGTATAGATACATGACAAGACAAAGTTATGCAATTCATAAATCACATGCTGTTTCTACACAGAATTTTTTATATACCCAATAGAATTACTAAGACTTGAGATAGAATTCTTAACCTCTTTATTGAAAAAAAATCAATACTCTTCAAACTTTGTTTTCTCACCTATTATACTAGCTTTTGAATGAAAATGAGATTTAAATTTAAGTTATTATCTATGGTTAAAAAGAGTAACTTCAGTTAAGATCAGAATAATAATTAGCACAACTTCTGCCACTCATTTTTATTAAGAAGATAATTACAACAACCACACTTGTCACCATGAAGTAGTTTTTCTAGATGTCTCCACTGCATTCAGAGCACTTGGAATTTTGCTCATACAACCTCAGTATAGATGCTTTACGACACTTAATACATCAATATTATTGGCATAATTAAGATTTAAATTCCCTGCACTTTTGCTGGTAGTTATTAAAGCTTTTATACTTAGTTCTAACAATATAGATATTAAAAAGTTAAATTATCAGAAAATAATCTTCTTGTAACTGAGAAAAACTGTTTCCTAAACCACAATTTTTTTCAGCTATTTTCTTTTAATACTTTAATCTTCATGTAAAATTTGTCAAGGTCCAAAAATTTTAAGGCCGAGCTACATGTTTGAGTGTATGTTAATTGATTATTATCAGAACAAGAATATTGACATCTACTGTAATTCAAACTTCATCCTTGACCAGGCCTTTCTGATGCTTTATAAAAGCAGGGAAGTATTCCTCTCCACTGACTGTGTCTGCCAAGTAAGAACTCTCACACACAGCAGCAGCTGCATACAAGACAGTCTTCATTTCCGTAGGGATTCAGATCTAAATTCAATGAGTTTCTACTTATTTTTTCAAAACAAGAATCTGGCAGTGAGGGTTTTACTCTTATTTTTGGTAATGAAGTAGCACGGAAGATCTTCCTAAGTAGTATAAAAAATGGTCCTGCTATATAAGCTGCTAATCTTATTTTTAGAGGCTCAGTAGTTAAAATTAATGGAAGCCTTCCCTTATTTGTCATTTATCTGCTTTTAAATACTTACAGTGAAAAATACGGAAATCAATGTATGGATGAGAACCTCTTCTCTCTGTTTCAAATCCTGCCCGACTTCTTACTCGCACATCTCCTAGAAACAGGGTCAAGAGTGAAATAAAAGTGTGGAAGAGTGGCAGAGATAAAACGCAAATTAACATAGCCTGGAGGGGTAAAGATTCATGTACTTAATGGAGGAGGGTTATTCAAACAATAGGTCTATTTCAATGCTTTTTGTTCTAAAGGTGAAATTCAAAACAAAGTTTGAAGACTTGTTAAACATGCAATCGCATGCTTTCTTGTCAAAATCCCTCCTGCCTAAGCATACGGTTGCCAGAAGCATGTGATAAGCATTCAGGTGAAATTAGGAACAGCTTGCTGGACCAGTATGGTAAAAATGCACCTTAATATGACAAGAAACAAGAACATTAAAAGTCGATTTGTTCCTCAGTAACACATAAAACGATAACATTTTGTATAATACAAAAAAGACTCAGCTTCTAGAAATGGTAGCTTTTAGCAAATAAGCTAGTTACAATACGGGTTTATATTACATAATTGAATTTTCCCACTAGCGTTTACTTACTTGCGCTCAGCTGTTTGAATATTACACAAGAGCCTATTGAAATACCAAAACTCAGTATTAAAATTTTATCAAACTATTTTGTACTGCAATTAGCTTCAGCCTGAATCTTTTAGCATGCTAGTTGATTTCTACTTACGCATATTACCAACTGAAAGCTGATCAGTATTACTTTGTTAGGTATTTGTATGCATTAATTTAAGTAGTTCACATAGATTAAAAGCTTTCACTTAGAATCCCTTTACATTTACCAATTTGGGCAAACCTTTGAGAATCAAATGCAGTAGCTCTGCATTTGATCAAATCCTACAGAAAAAAACCTAAATTTAGGATGTGAAGATGTTCTGGTTTTTAATTGTTAAAATCCTTCAAGGTTTTATTCTCTCCTCAAACACAGTGATCTTAATATGAATCAAAACTAAATATTTAACACAAGGAACAAAGACTGATTTTATAAGAACAAAATAAAGATACAGCTATTTAATTTCCAGCAACTAATAATATTCTAACATCTTTTCCTCTTCTTTTCCAACCTGCTAACTTGTAATGCTGAACCAGGAAACTTCTCAGAAAGCAGCCAAAGACACTGACTAAAACTTCAGTAATATACTTTCAACACTTAACAGGTATCTTTCTAGAGATACATATCTATAACCACTGACACACCTATAGTGTTATCTTGTGAGGCACCCTGGAAGGACCACAGAAAAGGTAAGTAGATCCAGGGCTCCCCAGATAATCAATCTAGAGCTTAGAGATCAGTAAAACATACAAACTACATGTTGGTTTCCATTATTACTCCTTTTGCTTTTTTGAAACTGAAAACCTTTAAAGAGCTGCACGGGAAAGTAGCACAATTACTACCAGTAAATATTTTTCAGACCCTTGACAATATATTACTTATAAACGTTTCAAGCATTCATCTGAGCAGAGTGCAAAAGGCTTGGTTGTCTTGTTCCAGGCAATACAGAGGCAGCAAATTGTAGAACTCTTCTGTTAGGCACAAGCAACTGGTGAATTTTATTTCAAAGTAAGTTAATAAAAAAGAAAAAGGGAGGAAATTTTGGAAAAAAGTAGAGGCAAATGCATTAGTAGCTGTGTATGAAAGTATCAGTTTACACAGAGGAAAATGCAACTTTCATTACCTTTCACTCATTTATCTGGGAAATCAGTCATAGCTACAGCTGTGTGAATTATTTCACCAGCTGAATTAAAAGAAAAATAAAAAGAAGGTTTTTCAGTTGAGCTAATTTTTTTTTTTTTTACAGAAAAGGTGACACAAGTTCATGATTTATAATTAGTTTTCAAGGCAGTCCTAATTTTCAGTTTACCAACCACAATGTGAATTAGCAAATAGTTTAAGTTGGTGTACAATGTAGGTTTTGATGAACAACTTACTTGTTCCAAGTGTCAATAATACGAAAAGCTCACAGAAAAAATACTTGAGACTAACATGGAATTCTGCAAATAACAAGCAGGTTCATCTGATAAATGATATCCAGAAAATGTCTCTGCTTTGTTCTCTCTTTACTAGTACCTAGTCTAATATGTTAGATAGTATAACAGTATCCTTGTTACCCTTGAAATGCTCAAAGTGTTGTGGATTTTTGAGCAGGAAAACAAGAAAAACTGTCTACAAGTGAAATGCAGAAATGCAACTAATCAACTAACCACATTGTATCTAACAGAAATTACTTAAACATGCATTTAGTCAGCCAAAATAAATTACATTTAAAAAATACACATAGTAAACTATTAAAAAGACAACTGTAGTAAGAGGATGGTAAAATGAGTGTATTTACTTGCATACATATGAAATGAGAAATTCTCAGCAAGGAAAGCAATGTATTTTTGTTAAATATTTGGCAAACCAAATTATGTCTCCTTGATTGTTGTAGAAGTGGAGAGTATTTTGCAAGGAAACAAGATCTCAACAATGGATTAATTTTTTTAGACTAAATTTAGATTCATTCTGGAAAACAGTATCACTGCTACAGGACCAGAATTCATCACAGTAAAAAAAGTAGGAATCCGTACTGGGCCCAAATGAAAGCAGAAGAGCTGTCTCCGTTATCATTGTACAGAACTACTACATTTTTCGGTATTTCAGACCAAAAAAACTTTCTCGGAAAAATTGGAACAAGTAGAATTTGAAGATACCACGCATCCATCTGAAGTTTCCATGTGTACACAGGCATAAAAAGGAACAGTATCAAACTGACAGCACATTAGCACATTCTGAAATGCTGCTGCTGTTAGCACAGTGAGACTAATCTCCACTGCTTATATATACTTAGTCCCAAAACATCCAGAAACACTGGGCTATCGTTATGGTGTTCATTTAACCTGACCTGCAAAGAGGAGTAAATCTCAAACAAACCCACTTCATTGTGTTTGCATGTAACATATTTGCATTGATTTACTTGGAAAATCCTGCACGAGTTTTTTGTAACCCTATAACTTGGAAATTATACCACATGTAATCTTAAGGAAGAAACATGTTTGCCATCATAGGTAGCTTTTAAAAAAGGCAGAAGACATTTGATATTTATGTTTACTTTTATCAAACTTAAGGACACCAATACATAATTCCCTCAAACAACAACAGGAGTCCCACCTCAGAGCCAATTATTATCACAGTAGCTGAAAGATAATTAAAGTTCAATACCTAAACCAGATGAACTTGTAAGAAGTTTCATGTGTTAAACCTTTTAAAAAAATATTGTCAAGGTAGTTACAAAATCTCTTGAAACAACCAGACTTGCACTGTTTGCTTACTGGAAAAAGTTACTTGAGGGGGCAGAAGCAGCAGGAAGCTAACAGTTTTTATCTTAAGTGTCTCTTTAGCCACTCTGAAAAGACTCCTCTGTTTCCTTAGGGGAATAGATTCAAGTCCAGTATCTTAATGACACTGGACTTCCAGGAACCATTTTTTTCTCTTTGAGAGCTTCTGCAAATCCAAAGAATCAAGAAAAACATTTAAAAAGCACTAAGCCTTTCTTTCAAAATCTGATTGTATCTGCTAAATGTGACCAAACTGCATGACTACTGAACTATATAATTATTTCCAGAATACTTCAACGTGACCAGGATTGCTTGCATTTTTAAAACAAAGGCCATATATGCAGAAAACTCAGTTGAAGACTGAATAAATAATGGAAGAAGGAATGTTAAGAGGGAGGTAGGCAGCTACTGAAAACTGAAAAGAAATCAGGGCTGTAAAAAAACTTACCTTGAAACAGGTTCTTTAGCTCCTACCCTTCTCTGATTTCTGCTCACACTGCAAGGACAGATCTGATACTTACAATGCAGCTGAAATACCACAACTGACATCCCTGTGCATTAGGGTTACACAGCACATACTTCGTGCTACCCTAATACTCCAGTGTGGCACAGTAACAATGCAGCAGCTGCTCAGGGAGCTGAGGCCTTCTGGAGCAGGGGCAGAAATCTCAGATCACAGACGACAGCTGGGAGCAGAAATTAGGGCAGCCACCTTAAGGTAAAGCACCCAAGCCAAAGCCATGAAGTTGTGAAGAGCTGGATTCCCACAAAGAATTACTTGCTTCAGAGATTAAAGTTCCTATTGAATTTGTTGGAGAAACAGATGACAGGTCAGCCGAACATGCCAGAGTTAAAGCAAAAGGAATACAACAGAATAAATGCACCAGAGAACAGTGAGCACTTGCATTACACAACAGCTTGCCTCCACTGTTTTCTATTTGAAGCAACTGAGACCTCTAAAGGAGAGTAAAATGCCCCAGTTTTACCCAAGAGGTGCATGCTCACCAACACAAGCAGTCAGTGTCCTAGTCTTCCCATTCCATGCGCTGTTGCAAAACTTTCAGGCAATACAAAACAACAGGAAAAAGAAACCAATGAAGCAAAGAAAAAACAAGAGTATCAAGATTACACTAACGCACTTAAAAGAAATGTTGAGAATTCCTCATAGTTGCTGAGAGAAGTAGCTGACTGAGGTGATGCAGATATATTAGCCCTTCCAAGGTCTTTAAAGAAAAATTCTACAATGCTGCATCTGTATTTTAAAATAGTAAATAAGCCACTTGGGAGTGGCTTAGAGTGTATTTTGGGAACAGGGTATGACAGATGAGTCATTAGAGTCAACACTGTTTGTTTATATCGACACTGATTAAGACAGAGTTAGTTGTTTACTTTGTGTGCCCCTAAAATACGGTATTTTAAATTGAACCTGGAAATACTACCATACCATAGGTATTTCCATTTACTTGGGGCAAATTAACTTCCACTGCATTCCCACTGGAACAGCCTGAAAGCTTTACAGGAAGCAATGCTATGGCCAGCATAACTAGAGGTAGAGGGATGTGACCTACATACCCTCAGCTTTATATTTTTGGTCTGCTAAAATTAACACCTTATCAAGGTACAGTGTATTAGTACATATAGTCTGTTAGGAATAATAACCATACAAGTAAAAGGCAAAACCTCCCATTGACTGTGCCTAACTTCCTGTTAGGTACAGTTGAGGATTCCTTACAGCTTCCTCTGCTAAAGTGTACTAAAATAAATAACAAACAAACAAAAAAAAAAAACCACCATTACACCACTGTATGGGAAACACAATACTTCACATTTCTTTCAAAAAACCTAATTGAATTTATTCATTCTTAAATCTACTTTGATAAGAAGATTTCTACATATTGATGTGTCCAACTGTTCAGCTTTCAGGCTGGTGTTTTTTACAGCCAATGTACAAATATAACAGTAATAAATCTGTAAATAGTTGCTAACCTGTACACTATAGCATAGGTAACATTTGGGAAAACAAAGATCACTAACAAATGAGAAAGTAATACAAATTTTACACACTGATCCAAACATCCAGTGAACAGTGTTTTACTTGTTTGTCCTTCCCCAGCCAAAGTTAGAAGAGATCAATCCTTTATAAGTCTTACTGCCTCTGAATGACTGGCATCACTGAACAGCAATCAGTGCCAGCCAAAGTTACGCTACTCATTACAAGCAGCAATCCCGTAGTCTAATAAATTAACTCCAATTAAAGAAAAAGTGAAAATTAACTTATGACATTCCAAATATATTCCAGTTATGCCCATGAGAACTGTCAAAGAAAGACTTCCAAACAAATTAGATTCTTCCCTCAGTATATACGAAGTATATATCCCTCAGTGTATGTACCAAAAAGCACAGGAAGTCATGCATTGCTTTCCTCTTGATTTGAGCATTATCACAAACCCTTCTGCAGAAATTATAGGCTTAACTACTTTCTGATACCATTAAACTTCCGAAGCAGCAAAAGAAATCAGATTATTCTCTCCAGAAATTAAGAATTATTTTCTTACAAACTGAGTTACTACCACTATCAGATTAATTTTAAAAAGATCAAAACACACTTATATACTTACAGTACCTAATTCAAGCTTATCTGTGCATCTTTAAAATATATTAACACATGTATCCCCTGTTGGCAAATGAATAGTACTACATTTTTAGGATTTTGAAAGTTTTAAATAATTGTATTTTCTAATTACAGCACAGAAAGTTATTTTTTAAAACCATCACAAAATCAAGGAAACAAAACTACCTCTGGCCTGAATTTATTTGCTTCTTATTATTAGATCAGAAAAATCACATTTTAAAGAATTCTACTGTTCATCCTGCCAAAAAGAGGATTTAAAAATTAAACTTCTGAAAACTTAATAAGCCTATTTCAAACAGCAAAAAAAATCCAGCAGCTTTTTCAATAAACATTGAGAAGCTAGCATCTTTCGTTCTCCTCCTCTTAACAAATCTCCAAAGTAATTATTAAAAAATCCTTTAGTAGACAGTCAGTGCTACAGTATTAAAAACTTGACCAGCTTAAAAAATAAAAATCAAAATAAGTGCAGAACAAAAATGTGAAGATGCTAAGTCAAAACTGGATTTATATATACATACGCAGAGGTATGCCTACATACATAAGTTACGACTACGAATTCATATATACACGTGTACACACACACAAATAGCTTACAACCTTAAATTCATAGAGAACATAGTTATGAATTTCTGGGGACTTTAATATATACAATATACAACTAAACTGAAATTACTCAGGGCATAAAAAGACATGTTCTGGCTGATCTAGTTGGAGCCGGTTAAGAATTTATAATCACTAGCTGCTGATGTTCACTGAGCTGTGTGAGACATCACGCATGCATTCATAGTCCATTTTAACACAAAATCAAGCTCAAAACGGCTTAAATTAAGCAGCACAAGTTTGCAGTGAAACAGACTTCAGTGTATATACACAGTCCCCATGCCATCTGCACCACCAGCAGCCTCCAGAAGAGTTAAGTACTGAATCCAGCAGCCAGATCTGCCTATTTCTCCTCCCAGTAACTGAACTTAACTCCTCCTTCCACGCACTCACAATCACACGGGGTCTCCCCCAGATGCTTGCCTCTCCCAGCACTGTTCTTCAATTTTAATATGGCTTTACACTTTACACAGTTGCTACTATGGAAACATTCTTCAGTAAATTGACCAAACCACTGGCCCTGCCACACATCCATTCCCTTCTCAAGTCATCTTCTGGTGTTAGTAAGTATTGTTTAAAATAATGTAATAATTTTAAGAACACCTTGAGCATTTCATAGCCTCAGTATCAAAGGTTTTTTTATGTGCAAACTCTCACACAAATGTTCTCTAAGCCACAGTTTTAACCAGAAGGATACCATGTAGAAGTGATAAAGTCCATCAGAAATAAAGATCAATCGTGAGTCACTTGGATAACTAAACTTCTACCAAACACAATCTGCTAACTATAAAAAATTTTAAACTCTTTTAAATATAGGAGTAAAATCATCTGACACGATGGTTAACTCAGAAAAAAAGAAAAGACAAACCACCAAAAAAACCATGTAAACACAAAAGAATCTAACCAGAATATTATGCAAGATAAAGGAAATTATAAACTTTAGAATTCAATACTCAAATGGGAAAAAAATATAATTCTTTAAAATCAATATAGAGCTGGTATGCTTACCTAGCATACGAATGTACAACGCAGTCTGATCAGAGCTGTCATAGGAAATTGCTCCACGTCTCTGAAAAAAAAAAAAAAAAAGTATTTCATGGAAATTAGGGTTAGAACTAAAAGATTTTTAAACTGAAATAAAGTATCAGTTGCCCATTTCCAATTTAACTCTTAAAATTAATTTTGGAAGTTGAATATGCACCTTTTGAAATGGAAATAAACACTGATTTTATTTTAGGAGAGGACAAAAGAAGGACAGGAATTGGTAGTGCAGAGATTATGAAAAACAGGATCAGAGTGTGGGAAAAAATATCCCCTCTAAATTTCTTTCCAAACGCTCCCCAATCATTCCTCACATCATTAAGTAGGCACAAAATAGAAGTGCTCCTCACAGCCTTCTAGAATGTAATAATTAAACGCTTGCAGTTCCTGGTTTATTTATTTACTTTTACCCATGGGGTATTTCCATCTTTCAAAGCTAAAAGTAGTTTTGAAAGAGGTACAAACTCACATGACACCATTAGGAATTAAACGTATATCCTGCAGGGGCAGAACCTGGCAGTCACATGCAACTTTCATTCCATGCAGTACCTTCTGTAGGCAAATCAAGGTAACACTGAAGAAGGATGTAATACCTAACAGTATTTTTTTAAAAAATAAGTGGTATTTCACATTTGATTGTAAAAGTCTAAAAGCACTATCACGTTATCTGTGCACAACATTAAGATACTCCCATAAAGGCTGTATTTCTTACCTATACAAAATATGTATAGGTAAGTCTCCCACAAGTCTGATGAATGGGTCCTCTAATAGTCAAGAACTGAGGGAATGTTCTCCTAGTTACACAACACTGGCATGACCTAGCACCCAGCCCCACACCTTGCCTTTACTGTACACTTTCATCACCTTCTGCCAGCTTCCCGAGGCCTTCATTCATGTTATTTCTTAACCCTCGGATCATCTCCACAATCAGACTTAATTTTTGCCAGTTCACAACACATGTTCTTCAAAGAACCATGACTATGTATGAATATTAAAAACTGACTTTTCCCTGTCCACTTCTTATTTACACTGAGGACAGTGACATTCAGTGCCACAAAGGGTTCTCATATTCCTTTGAGAACTTCAGACAAAAGACAGGAGGTGAACAGTCCCTAATTTTTTTCCCTGTGTAGCAGGAACAACAATACAGCAGGGACACAGAATAGCCTGAAAACGTGCAAGTTCAAAAGACGAGGAAAACTAAACCATGTTAGAAAACAGGACAGAAATACAGGTGTTGGCTATTGGAAGGCATTCCAAAATTTTTTTTTAAAAAAAAAAAGGGACAGAAAAATTATCTCTAAGGCAGAAAAGACAAAACTGCTTACATGCCTCTCTGCACAGAACTAACTGAATGCACACAAAGACTAGAAGATTAATAATCTTTCAGCATTATTCGTACAACTGACATACAAAGGCTTCAAATCCAGAAGTTACACTATTTTTTTAAACATTTTTCATGTTAAAAATAGAGAAACTTTCACTTGAAGTCATTTTTCCAAAGGTAAGCTTAACATTAATTACAGAAATTACTCAAGATCTAGCTCCAAATAGGGTTCAATTACAGTAGCTGTTGTAAAGACAGTAAGAAAGACAGCACTTTTATGTTGTCTTAGCTTTTGTTTCGTATTTCCTCAAAGTATTATAAACCATGAAAATAATCCTTCCCTCAAAATATGTTTGTACAGCATTTCTCTGCCAAAAAGTGATGCTGACTTCCCACTAACACTTTCAAATCTCTTCATAGAACCTACCTTTGAACTTCAGCAAATCTCAGCTGAGTATCTTTTCAGTAGCCTGGAACATTTCATATCACTGACTAGGCATAATCAGTGATATAATTTAGTGCTAACTTGCAATTTGCACCTGTCTATCACAGATTTCTGGACATATTCAGTACTGTTCTGTAATCTAATACAGGAGAAAGCTAAGCACACATGTGGCTAGATGAACCATGCCCAACTGGGGCAATACTCTCTGAGAAGGAAAATATTATGAAAAAAATGCTGAAAAATACAAACTTTTGATATGTTGATTCTAATATACTATTTTCTCTCTAAAATATTATTTGCTAGATATAGTATTACATCCATTTATGTTCTCAAACACAAAGCATATTTTAAAAACAAACCGGTTGCTTATACAAAACAAGTGATTTCATTCTGCAAGGGCTCTGAAAGATTTCATAAGAATCTTTGATCAAATACTTTTCTTTCAACGTTTTATTTCCTAAGGAAAAAGAGAATGTATTGTGTAAACCTTATTAATGATACTTCAAAAGTAGTAAGAAGATTCCAGCTAATTTTGCTAGAAGAGTAGAGGTCCTAAAGATACTTCATACAGTGAAATTTGTTAAATAAAATAGATATGAAGAAAACACTTATTAGGAAGTTCCATCAAGAGACAGATACAGGGTGAGTGATGAGTGGCCAGACCTCATATCTTTAGACCAGGCAAGTAAGTGAGCTACAGATAGAAGAAGCACTGTGGTGGGCAGTCAGAGAGAGGAGGAAGCTAATGGCACAGAGGTATTTAGCAACTTGTGATAGGTAAATTAAATATTATGTTCATCCAGCCATGTATAACTTTGTGTCAGCTTACACTCCAAATGGGTAATGGACTGTGTGCCACAGGTAAAGGCATATCACTTGTTTTCCCACTTCAAATAATACTGTCAGTGTATTTGTTATACTACTACACCACTCTAGAAAAACTAAAGAAAAAAAAAAAAGGTAATTTAATCTTCTACCAAGACATTAAGACTATACTTAAACTAAAATTTTTCCTTACTTATGCAGTAAAGATGACTGTAGCACATACTGACTCAGCCTGCAGAGATCTCGGCTAAAAATATTACGGACAGAGCTTCACTTCTAGCACTTCAAAGCATCACAGTATTGTTGATACTGTTAATATTTTTTAACTCATTTAGCATAAAATTTTATTTCTAGATCTCTGCCACCTCTCTGGTCTGAGGCTTTGTACCTGTTAATAACCATAAGCCATACTGAACTCCTTGACACACACACACACCCCGTACAAATTTCAAACAAACAGGCAGACAGAATTACTCGTGCTCTAACTGAAGACAATTCTAATGTGTTTAGGCAGGTTCCCTTTTAAAGCACAGGGACTGCTTAGTCCGGTGGGAATATCTGTTGGATTTCAAGTGATTAAACAAATTTCTCCAATGATTAGGAAAGGTTCTAAACCACTCCGCTCCTTCCCAGACACGAGCAGAGCTATCTGAACTGGGTGGGCTGTTTTGCTTCAGCAGTGAAGACGTGTAAAGATTACTGGGAAACTGAAGGATTGTTTACACTGGACTTCCACTTTGAAAAACTCAACTTAAATTTCAGTTTCATATCTAAGTGTCATTTATTCTTCCAAAGGGCAATACAGTAAGAAAAACTGTCATTTCTCCTCTTATTTTTTCACATATTTTTGGAAAGTGCACAAAAGTTCTTCAAACCAAAGTGGAAAATCCATTAATTCTTTAAGAACAACAATGATACAAGGACTCCACAGAAACAGGCAAAGGAAGTATCTACCAAAAGATAGATTTAAGTCTGCTCTGTCAGAAAATCTTTTCACAAGACTATAGGAAATTATTAGAGGCCCTGCAACAGGAATGACATGCCAAAATAGCACACGTGTCTTCAAAGGGAAACTGCTTCAGTGATGCTGAGGAGTAGAGCAGATGCATAGAACACATGGAAACAGAGCACCTGCTGCTGTTTGTGCCAAACAAACGTTTCCACTCATGTATCAGTTTTATCACTAGGACTTCCCGATCCAGTTCAGAGCACCACACCAGCATTACTGCTGGGCACTTCATTTCAGCAAAAGCCAGCTAGCCAGCTTTCAGATTGTCAAGTGAAACAACTGCTGGTTTAATTCTGTAACAACAGAAAAAAACTGATGGAGCTGTCAGCCTTCAGTATCCAGTGCCTCTCCTCAGAAAGAACAACCTACGCGTTTTGATGGAGTGCAAATCCCTTATTTTGCGACTCAGTTGTTTATTCAGAAATGAGGAAAGAAAAGTCAGAGGACAGCAATACAGCCAGTCTTGTATTTTTACCTACTTGGCTTTTCTGCCCAAGTTATTTGCCCAACAGTTAGAGGGTTGTTTTCAGAAAGAGAAAGTAAGAACAAGTTTGGATAAATTGTTATATCATGGTAACTGCAATTTGCTGGTTTTGCTGCCACAAATACACACACTTGGAAAGAATTCATGATTCTAAGACAGTTTATCAATTAGCAGGCCTTGGAATGACAGATTAGTTAGACCAGATTTCTGGATTACTGGATTCCAAAAAGTGAGAATATTCTTTATCATAATTCTTTTACTTCAGTAATAATTTAAAGTATCATACTAACTTAAGATGTCACCAAGATTTTTATCACAAAAGCCCTGGAAAAATGTTATTTTAAAGCACTTAAGTAACTGTTGTTGAACTCAAGACAAGCCACTGCAAAACAGTACTACTGTTTTTGATAGTTCAAAGCAGTATTTTGAAAATTTATCAAGCCAGTGATAAGAAAATGTATTTAACTTCAGGAGAGCAATACTTATCTATAAGAATAAGACACATATCCCCTTCAAATATCTGAATGTTGCAATTCTACTATTTTCTTCCATACAAAGCTATTTCATTATTGTCTCCCAAGATGGATGGCAGTCATTTATAAACTTAGCTGGTGGTTTAATGACAGATATAAATGTAACGGATATCTAACAAGCATCTGTAAGGCTTTTTCTTTTACTCTAGATATAGACCAAATGGCATAATAAGATTTACCCAAAGCTTTATCAAAATAAAAACTTTCATATTTAACAAAAATATACAAAAGCTTGAAGATGTATCAGAAAAGATAGCATAGTCAAAAAAGTGTAAGTGATTGACCTAAGTGGGGACAAAAACACACAGGGATACTACCTTTAGAAACTAAATGAGAATGGCAGAAGGACTCAAAACCAACAAAACTAGGATTATTTAATGTACCCCCCCCAAAAAAAAAAAAAAAAAAAAAACCACAATGAGCACATTTAAAAACCCAACCATACATAAAAGAGGGTTTTATGTTTAACTATATTATGTCAGCTACTTAACCTTCCTGTTTTTCCCACCTTAACAGAATCTTTGACCAAACTGAATTATAGACATAACCCTTAAGTAGGCTTTTTGTGTCGAGATTCAGAAAACCAGCAATTCAACAATGTAGCAACAAAATGCAGGTGACTAATTAGGCTACCAAACAGGCTGTAAAATTTTGGCATTTGGAATCTGCCTTCAGGCACAAGTGAACTTCCATTAGGGTATCCTGGTCTTTTTCCTGATGTGACAACAGTTATCACAAGTGCTAGCAACTTAGCCAGACCGTTTCTGCTTTCAGCAAATTTACAACTGTTATTGCCAATGACTGAAGAATACAGGAACAGGTACTTTTTTCTCAAAACAAATTCAAATTCATTAATTGTATAAAAATGTTTAAATAGTGTAGTGATTAAAAACCTAGATATAAATGCATTAATTCTGACTTGTATTTTTTCTCTTCTGTTTCCCTCATTCTCTCCAATGATTCTGGCTCTCCTCCACAATCCTGAACTTAAATTTATTTCCCCTTTTTGAATTAACTCAAGGTTAGACAGCAAGCTATGCGGCAAGGAGCCTGGTCACATGTCCAGGCACCAATTCCACCTACATTTACTACCACAGTATATATTATGGGGACACTTACATCCTTTAGAATGATAAGAGTAGGAACTCCCAATTTTGTCTAACATTAGCACATTTTTTCAAAGCACAGGTATCTCAAATGGAAAGGCTACAAAGCAAGCAAAGTAACTAGTATTCCACCTAAGCAAACAAAACTGGTATTTCCACTCCTGTAACCCTGAAATCAACAATACAAAAAGGATATCCTGTCCAAGAAGCAAAACACTAATATGTATTATTCTCATTATGTTTAAAATTTATTTTCCTTGTTTTCACAAGGCCTTTAAAGCACTATAAAATTGCAGATCTGTTAGTAAAGGAGGCACATAAACCTTTGCCATTCAGAAGCCATTTCAGATCCCTTTTCGTGTCCCAACTGGCACTGCTACAAACACACTCTTCCCACTTCAAGGCAGGCAAAAGTTGAGAGCTACAAAATCATGTACCAACACTTAAGAAACACAACCTTAAATGATGAATGATGTGTTTCCAAAACAGATTAGATTTGGAAAGAAAAATAAGTACTTGCGAGGTTCTTAATGACTGGTTTTCTCTCAGGCTACTTATAAACCTGGTGAATCAAAACAGAACAATAAAATGGCCTACCTTAGAAGTAATCCATTTGATAAGGATCAGAGCTAAACACCAGATCAATGCAATTCCCATTGGATCACCCCGAAGACCAGAAGCATACTCTCCTCCCCGTTCCCCGGCAGTGCTGAAAGCTGTGCCAGGGTGTCAGCAGTGGTGGGCAGAGGTGCGGCAGCAGGCAGGAGCTGCCTGCCCCAACAGCTGCGCCCAGGCTGCCGTCACAGGGCGGCCCAGCACCCAGCTCGGTGGGAGCAGCGCTGCCCCCCCTGCCAATCGCTGCCAACTCCGGCTCCAGGAGAAAGTTTTACAACCAGAGGTCACGGCAAACAGTAAAGCCTTCCTAAATCCTACCGAAATGCTAAAAGAAATTAAAAACCACAATTACATGCTTTTATAACCGTATTTTGACACTGCAATGCTTGGTAGGCTACAGGATCAAACTGTCACTACTCAAACCACCTGAGCTAATTCAAGATACTGCCCTGTCTCTAAATACTAACAAGGCCCTGTTCTCATCAGGTTCCACTGCACCAATATTCACAAGTTTCTTTCATCTCCGAGACCTGGAGAACTGCTGTGAACTGAACTTCAAAACATATGAAACATGAAAGAACATTAATGCACTGAATACATGCAATCATTGAAGCCAACCATGGTTCTCTAATCTCTTATTTTGTCTATGAAATACCAAGACATCCTTCATACCACCTTTCTAGCCACACATACTCATGTCTCAACTGGCACGTTGCTTCCTTTTATTCCTCCCAAGGCTGAACTTGTCTTCAGTCCCCTCATCCCTGGCACTTTCGGGGGTGGGAAAGCAGGCTGACCTCCTCTAAGAGCACCGATTATGCAGCCAAGCAGTCCTACGTACTTGGTGCACCTTTGAGATTTAAATTTTTGTCATTTTAAGATGACAAAAAATGTTTCATTTCAGAAATACAAAGAAATCTTTAATAGCTGGGGGGGAAAGCAGCTACAGAGGGGAAAAAAAGAACCAAGTGTGGGGTTATTGAGTTTAAAAGGATGAAGCTGACTAGTTGAAAGGAGAACAACATGAAGATCCTGCTCTCCCTTTAATTATTTATTGTAAGAAAATCATATTGCAAATTCCAGTATGTGCACAAAACACAAAAGTTAGCAGGGATTTAGTAAAGGAGTAACTTAAGCACTGAGAAATTAGTTTCCTCCTATTCACAGGCACTGGGGACAGATACCACAATGGCTGTTTACTGAAGGAAGGAGAAAACTCAGTAACTGGGACAGGGCTTTTGGTTATTAAGAATCATATTATAAAGCGTTCATTCTGGCTTTTAAGATATAGTCATGATCTCAGCACCAGATGGAGGTTACTACAGCACTATTAGACTGCAAATGTGTACATTCTGCTCTCTCCCCTCCCCATGCCCCTGAAAACCAGTCAGGTAAAGACCACAAGCAGGAACATTTAGGTATCTCACTTAATAAATACAGTGCTTATCTAAAGGTCTGTCAAGTTCCACCCAAAATACAAACTCTTATGGAGGTAGATTTCAAAACCTTACCATCTCCAAACACCACTTAACAAGGTTAAGACCCTCTAACAATTAGTCATCACCAGTCCAATGTTACTTTAAAAAAAAAAAAAACACAAAATAAAAGGCATTAGGCTGTTTCTGCATTAGCAATTTGGCACAGCAGGAGCACATCAAAACACAGCTGCTCCTGAAGTCTTTACGCTCATATTCTATGAAGCCCAGAAGGTTTATTTTGCAAGTCACATTTACTCAAACTTCCTGAACCAGACTGTACCACAGGACATTCAAGGCTGCCAAAAATGACCGTTAACTGGTCAAACTTCTATGAGCCTATCAAGGGTTAGAGTACATTAGTGCATACAAGGAGTGGAATGGCTTTGTGTCTTTCGAAAGGAGGCTACTTAGCTCTTACCCAAACCACTCTGGAAAAGAAACAAACGGGCATGATAAACAGGGTCAATTAGGTGATTTGCTTCAAGACCAAACTCTTCTCCAATTAAAACTAACACAAATACAGTCTAATACTCTTTTTAAGGTCAAGCATTTCTCTCTGTCACCATTATTTTCGATCCCTGATCATTCTTCTGTTTTCCTGTCTCTAAACACATGGAGATGTTCTTGAAGTGTGAAGACCCTAGGCACATGGAGCAAGCCTTTCTTCCACTGATATCAGAAGCACAATTTTTTTTTTTCTTAGAAAACAGCAATATGAAGTAATCGCCCTTTCCTCTTTTGTCCTCCAATAGTAAATGTTTTAATTAATTAGCCACCTAGTGATCTGCGAGGCTCCACATGGAAACCCATTATTTCCTATTAGCGCATTCTGTTACTTGGTACTTCAAGTGCAGGATCCCAATTTTACTTGCGTATTTCTAAATATCCATCTGTTCCAATCCTTTTTTTTGTTTTAAATAAATTTCAACAGTCCTAAAAAATGAGTCAGTGTTTCCTTACAAACCTCAGTAACTACTGTATCCACAGAAGTGTCTTTAAATGCGCCCCTCCCCCACCCCCCCAAACATTTCAATAACACCTACAGGAAATACAGAGTTGAAATAACAGCACCATATTTCAGACATTATTTGGTCTCATATGATGCTCCCGGTTAAATACAATGGAGCTTCACAGACCTCCATCAACACAGGTTTTAATGCAGAAGTTTGAGGCCTGCTGCTCATCACTCCTACCTTCCAGAATGCCCTGGTTTCACATGCATGCACTTACACACCTGGCCCAGAAATTAAGATCTCCATGGAGTCTCCTTTGTCCTTCAAACGCTTCCTTCCAGAACAGGCACAGAACAGTGGCTTGTGCCACACTGATTTCTAGGATACTTTCCTGACTAGCATATTACTTCTTATGGACCAGTCAGTGAACTTAACCATATTGCTATTAAAAGCCTGTCAAGACAGCAGAGTAATATTAAAGCCTGTAATTTACTAATTCATCAGCATTCAGTGAAAAAAACGCAGTGCTAAACTAATTTCTATCTTTTCTTCACTTTTCTCCCTGCCTCATTATCTATTATGTGCAGTCTCTCTCACCAACAGACTTCACTAACAAAGGATAATTAAATTGTAATCTATGAGAAGTATTCTTGTAATAAATGTGGGTAGCTATTGCTGCAGCCCAACCCAACCACTAAACACTGCACTCATGGAAAAAATAAGAGAATACACTGTTACATATACCAAGAAGAGACCTTTTAGAATTTCACAGTGTACACAGTGATCAAATATTACAAATGCTACTTCTGTTTTTGTCTTAATTTCAATGTTATCTAAGCATTTTACTTTCAATTCAGCTTCTTCTTTCAAACATTTGCCATGTTAGCCTATGTCACAACTAAACATAAAACTCCAGCTTTTCTAGCTGCTTACTAATAAAGTGACAGATCAGCCAGTAAGTAACAATCAAACATGAAAACTAAAGAGATTTAGCAAAATTCACCTTCATTACCACATACAAATCATCATTACTACCTGGCTCATTGCAGTTCAACTCAAAAGGCTAGTTGATCTTAAACCATGGGTTTAGAACTTATCCAAAAGCCAAGAATGGCTACATAGCCAGAAAGCATAATTTAACCAGTTCCTTGACGACTTTTCATTTTTATTTATCTTCCATTTCAGCCTTCAGTAAAACAGAAAATGAAAATTCCCCTTTTAGGAAGGAAAGGATCCAGTTGCAGTGACTGAATGGAAGCCAACTACCCTGCATTTCTATACCACCACTCATTCATCAGCTATTCTAATGTAGCAACAGAAAACTGTGAGGGGATCATTTTATGTGCACTGCATTTCCAAAGGGGGAAAGAGCTATTCGGTATTTTAGAAAGCAAACACATAAATCTTTGCCAACGCAAGCACATTATATTAAACACTGACTTTTTCTGATGGCTGGCTTTAACCTTTCATCTTATTTGCTCAACATCATGCTTACGCAACTTAATATAAATGACCGTGTAACACTGAAAAAGGGATTTGGAAAAAAAAAAGCACATAACTTAGTTGAGGGGTGGATGAGAACACATTTTTAATTTCCTTGCATAGATTAAATATCTCAAAACTGATTACTTCTTTCCAAAATGCCCCTTTTGCAATACAAATTAGAATACTCTCACTGTCTCCATCACATCACGAACTTTCGTTAATCTTCTGGTGATTTGCTTTACCTAACACAGCAAATTTCAAAGTTTCTACAAACAGCATACAATTATATATTTAGAAGATCTAAACGGAATCATCTGTCACTGTGCCAGTTTGTTCTGTATAACCCTTGTCCTCATGAAAGCATACCTAGCCAAACAACTGAAGTTCTACAGTATTCTTTCTCCATTTTTTTTCTGACACCAGTTCTCCATGGCTGCTCTCTTGTAATTGTATTTTAGAGCTTCGTTTAAATCCACAGAACTTCTGATTTCAGCTTTTCTCCAGAGAAAAGATGTTGGCCAGAAGCTATACTTCAGTTTTACCAAATCCTCTATAAAGAAAGAAAATTTCTACATATGTGTATTTGTCATGTGTTACTTAGAAAATACTTATTTTTTAACTGTCTGTAGAATGTAGTAAGGATTATTACCTTGGACAGAAAATTATTTTAGCATAGTCACACAGATGCTCTGTCCACACCTCTGCAGGTAATATCACCCCATTTACAAAAAATCTGCAGCACGGCAAGAACCTGGACCAGTTTTAGAGTTCAGGATGCCTTCATCTGTGTTAATCATTGTTAAAAGGTGAGTACCATCAAGCCCTCAGACTATTAAACACACTTTCAACAAAGACTGAGCGGTACATTGGAAACAAATAAAGAGTAATTTCAATTCCCACATACTTCACAATCGAAAGTAACCTGACTATATAAGTGAAAACAGATTAAAAGTAATTTGTGATGAGAAAAGCTACCAATATTTTAGTAAATAGTTTTTAAATTATTATTTTTAATTTATTTTAAATTATTTTAAATTTAGTAAATAATATTTTAGTAAATAAAACATCTATGATCTATTTCTAAAGCATATCCTTTGAAGAGTGAAAGACTATCTTACTGCATGTC